TGCGGATCCCCAGACGGAAAATTCTGCTCTGTTGTTCCACCTGTTGTCCCACTCAATACAGCCACTTCTGCCTGTGCTTTGCCAGTCTTTAGTACCATCTGCTTTTCTGTATCATCTAGCAAATTATCCAAGATCACCTGTAAATCACTCCAGTCCGGATTCTGTGTTCTAATTATAGTATCCACCACTCTGCCTACTCTCTCAGGATCTTCTCTATATACTCCAGCTGCCTGCTTCCAAGCCATCAAGTCTGTAACCGAAAAGGGCACCTTTACATACACCGGCCCACTGTTACCAACTCCCTGCCACAGGGGAGCTATTGTTGCTATCGTTTGTGTCTGCTGTCGGGTCCTTCGAGAAATGGGGGTGTGAATTACAACTTCAGACGGTCCTTCCCCCACATCCTCTATTCCACTACTTTCTGGTTCTTCCATCTGTTCTCTATGCTCTCGACCCCAATTTATTCCTCTCCTGGGAGGGGATATATCCCAACTCTGGCCCTTCATCCTCTTTGGGGGCAGTTATTTTCTTTAAACACTCTTTTCCAACATCACATGCCAAACCACATTTCTTTTCTTTCTTATCAGAAGTCATAGCCATTACCAAATTGTCCCTACTAGTCAGCTTACATTCATTCTGCCAATCCCGTCTCTGTCTTAAATAAAAAATAAATCCACATATGGTATTTCACTCCACTTCCCTTCTCTTCTACAAAACAACATTAACTGCAGAATGGTGTTATAATTCAGTGTCCCATTCATGGGCCACTTTTCCTGATCCTCTAATATATACAGAGGCCACCAATGATTACAGTACTCAATCATCTGACTTTTCCGCAAATCATCATGCAATTCACCCCAATGTGCTAACAAACATCCCAAAGGAGATGTTTTCGGTATCTTTCCATCAGTAGATAAATTTCCCATACTCTTACTCTTAAATAATTTGGCCAATGCCGTTACGTTTATACCCACTACTAAATATCTATTAAATATATATCGAATATCAAAAATCAATAATCAATTATCAAATGTCAGATGCCAAACCAAATATCAAATGCCAAGTATCAAGTACAAAGTTTCAAATACCAAATACATATATTAAATGCCAGATATCAAGTGAATACAAATAACAATTGTTGCCAGGTAATGGAGTCCACCTGCTTGTCTAGGGCACGGACAGAACCGACTTCCCTAGGCAAGAGTCATAACCAATATCCCCTGGCAAGATTATTAACCCACAAAATGTATTCACCCTTTTAAAACTTCCAACCTCAGTTGGAGGCACTACGTCTCACGCTTACAAAACTCACACTCACATATAACACACTATACCACACTCTTAATTCTGATTTGTGATACACACAAAATATCTCACAAAGATACACATACACTCTCAAAATTCCTTGGAATCGGGACTCAAACCCAAAGTTTCCAAAATGCTTTTGAAGCTGGGACTCTAACCCAGAATCCTCAAAAGTTGTGGGACTCTAACCCACTCCCAAATTGTCCAACCCAGCAATAGCTTTCGCTTATGTCTTACGGGCAGACGCCTAGGCTTTCACTTCAGGATCCTTTAGTCCAACCCTGCGCAGCTTTCGCCGCATCTGACAGGCAAGACGATACTGGTGGGACTCTAACCCACTGGGGGGACTCTAACCCCA